GATATCTTGAAATGTTAATGGGAAGGTTTAAGAGCAGATAGAAAGACCCAGTTCATAAAAAAATATGGCCACATAGCGCAACTCCTGTACATGCGAGTAAACTTCTCAGTGTTGAGAGCATTAGTTTGACATTGAGATCCGACCTATAGATGCTTTACTTTTAGCTCAATGGAAATAACCCCAACTATCAAGGAATACCACACCCTCTTACAAATACCACTACAGGAGAAAATTGAGGTTTATTCCTATGATGGTGGGTTTACGTTGAAAAGGGCAGTATCGCTGCTTGTAGGGAAGATATCTGCTGGTGAGATTGAAAAACATGTGAAAAGGAAGGGAGAAAACACATGCTTGCCGATAGAATATATCCTGAGTCTTCAGCAGAGGTTCGTTAATGAAGAAAGGGAGCTATCGCTATTAGCTCTGTGCTTATTCAACTTGGTTTTATTTCCTAAAGTTAGTGGGTACGTTGAAGAGCGGCTGGTCAAGCTATTTGTCAAGGTAGAGATGAGGGTTAATCTTGTAATACCCATCCTTGCAGAAACTTTCCGAGCACTAAATTTTTGCAGATCGCGAGGAGTAGGGAAATTTATAGGCTGTGCTCAGCTGCTATACATTTGGATCCTCAGCCATATAAATTGTCCACCAGAGTTCAAGTGTCCTCAGGTCAAATTTTCAAGATCGTGGAGTAGATTACAAAATCCCATCCTTGAATTCAACCAAGCAGATTGGAGTCAAATCCACCCAGGGAAAGAAGAGTGGAGCATTTTCTTCGCAGGACTAAGGTCAGAAGATGTGGAGTGGAGGGCCCGATGGATGTCAACCAAACCTATGATGTATAGGTGTGGTAAATTTCACAGTCTACCGTTATTGGGTCCATGTGGATGTGTATCTTATGCCCCATTAATGGTATTGCGCCAGATATGGGTACGTCAGTTTATCCCAGCCACACATGACTTAAGAAACTCTGAATTTGCCTATGATGTTCGGTTTTGCAAAAACAAAATTCAGGAGGTTGTAAAGGCGTGGAAGGCGATTGTCAGAATCCAAAGTGGCAATTATCACGATAATATATTTGAAGGATACGAACAGTGGCATTCGAGTAGAGGAAAAACTGTTGTTCTCCTACAAACCGACAAGGGCAAAGGGAAGCTAGAGGTTCCCACTGGGATAATTCTTTCTGAAATGAGCCCAAATCAGTCCACTCAGCGGAAGGTCGCAGGATAGAATACGAGCTGCGAGAAGGGAACCTCATACCGGCTAAAGAAAGACTACAACTAGGGTTCAATCAAAATCTACCTTGAAGCATTGAGCTGGAATTACAGCAGGCAAAAGGGAGGTCGGTTACCAAGGGAAAGAAAACAGACCGCTAGAAGTACATGTTCGGGACCCTAACCGAAGAATGTACGAAAATAGCTGACAGCCTTGAAGGCGCGAGACAATCAAATATCACAACAAATGTCTTCTCTACAAACAGAAATCATGTCCCTTCGTGAAAAAGTCATTGTGTTGGAGGAGAAAGAAGTACAGTTAGCTCAGTATGCTCAAGAAAATCAAAAATTAAGGGAAACTGTCCAGGCGCTTTCAAGCCGTCTCGACAAAACCCAGAATGCTGTTGACTGGTTAATGCATGATTATGCCCATATCATGGAACAATACAACCAAGTGGGGTATCAATTAGACCATGTGAGGCGTGATAACACATTGTTGCGTCATAATTCAGAGCATGTACTCACCCAAGTCAGACAGGCAGCCCGTAGGGCAGATGGTTTAGCTGAAGAGGCACGAGCTCTCACGTCTGCCATTGCCCCTACACAGCCGAATGGCAAAAGCACACTAAAGTTCTTGAGCAAACTTCGGCGAGATCTAGAACATTGGGGATAGTTTTATTAACACTCTGCTTTAATGTGCTTTCAATTCCATGATTTAAGCATTGTGGTTCAAATTTGGCATAATTGTTGTTTTCTTGTAATCTTCATTTATTCATTTATCCAATTTATAATAAAGTCACAAACTTATTTATTTATGGTTTTCTTTCTCTTTCTTTTTGTCTTCTATTTTTCTAAAAAGCAAAAGGGATTGTTCAAGATAGCTCGCTCACTGGCACCCCATCGCACTTACCGTACCAGACACAGGGCAAGATTGATGATGGAAGATCAAAAAGCCAAGCAGGAGAAAACAAGGAAAGATATTGATGAGTTGCAAGAAAAGTTAGATGTCATCCTCCTCGCATTGGAAAAAGGCAAAGCGGCTGTGGATCCTGCTACACCTAGCAACCCTATCCATGAGCCGCAAAAAATCCCGCCTTATCCACCTTGGTATGGTCCACCTCTTAGGCCAGTGGCAAAGGGTTTCATGCCACAATATACAACGTACAACCCTCTATATTACGTCCCGGTTGGTTAGTATCCGCATTCCTTTGTTAAGGGAGCTCAGCAAATCCCAACCAACATCATTTTTTGAGAGCCCGAGCAAATGATGTCACCCCCTCAGTCCTTAACCTAGGTGGTCTCCCAGCCAAGACAGACCCAGTCGGACAAAATGCCCCCAGTAATGAGAAGTTCGAAGTTCTGGAGGAAAGATTAAGAGCAGTAGAGGGGACATATGTTTTTGGCAACATCGATGCCTCACAATTGTGCTTGGTGTCTGGATTAGTCATACCTTCAAAATTCAAGGTGCCAAAGTTTGTGAAGTACGATGGTTCTTCTTGTCCTAAGAATCATCTTAGAATGTACTGCAGGAAGATGGCAGCGTACGTCCAAAATGACAAATTGTTGATACACTGCTTTCAAGATAGTTTATGTGGTCCAGCCTCTCGTTGGTACATGCAGTTAGATAGCTCTCATGTTGACTCATGGAAGAATCTGGCCGACTCCTTCCTAAAAAAATATAAGCATAACATAGACATGGCTCCAGATCGCTTAGATTTACAGAGGATGGATAAGAAGAGTACAAAGAGCTTTAAAGAGTATGCTCAAAGGTGGAGGGACACGGCAGCTCAAGTCCAACCTCCTTTAACGAATAAGGAGCTATCTGCCATGTTCATCAATACCCTAAAACATCCTTTCTATGATCGGATGATAGGAAGCGCTTCCACAAATTTCTCTGATATTATGACCATCGGAGAAATGATCGAATATGGGGTTAAACATGGGTGAATAACCAGTACTGCCGAGGAGTCATTAGCCACAAAGAAGGCAAGTCATTCCAAGAAAAAAGAATGTGGGGTACAAATGGTGGGAGTAGACCGACACTCTTGGAAACAACAACCATACGGTCGGACACCGCGATACATTCTGTATTATTACCCAACGCCATATGGGTATAATCAACCATTTGAAAATTTTCAACCCCCGACCAGTCAAAATTTCCAACCTAAGAGTCAGCAGCATAATACATTTTATACTCAAGGGTAGCAGACGAATAGAGGGGCACGTAAACAGACCCAGTTTGACCCAATCCCCATGACTTATATTGAGCTTCTACCTCAGTTATTTCAAAATAATCAGCTGGCACCTATACTTGTAGATCTGATCCAGCTTCCATACCCAAGATGGTATGATGCGAATGCTCGTTGTGACTATCACGCAGGAGCCATAGGACATTCAACAGAGAACTGCACTGCATTGAAATACAGAGTTCAAGCTTTGATCAAGGCAGGTTGGTTGAACTTTAAAAAAGAAAATGGGCCTGATGTAAGAAAGAATCCGCTGTCGAATCATCAGAATGTCCAAATAAATGCAATCGAATGCCAAGGGATCGAGTGGAAGAGTAAGGTTGTCGATATTACAACCCCTTTGGAGGAACTATTTGAAATTCTCTTGGGCAGTGGATATGTATTAGTGGAGTACCTATGCCCAAACCTCAAGTATAAAGGGTATGATGAAAGTCTGACTTGCCCGTTCCACGCTGAGGCAAAAGGTCACTCCCTGGAGCAATGCAACCATTTTCAAAAGAGAGTTCAAGAGTTGTTAGACTCAAAAGTCCTTACTGTTACAAAATCTCACTTGAAGAAAGGGACAAATGTCGTGGAAGATATCTTGGTTGCTAAGGGCTCAAGTGATTCTCTTAAGCCAAAACCTCTCACCATCTTTTACCGTAAAAAGCCAGATGCACCCAGCTGCAGTCGGAAACCAATCACTATCACGGCTCTAGCTCCTTTTGAGTATAAAAGTTCCAAAGTAGTGCCTTGGAGATATGAGTGCAAGGTAACTGTAGGGCAAGAGGTATCATCTTCTTCACTCCCAGTTGACAATGTCACCGGAGTAGGAGGTTTGACACAAACTGGGAGATGTTATACACTGCATAGCTTGCTAAAGCGCGTGAATGAGCCCACTAGTGAAAAGAAGGAAAAAGCAGAGGAAGATAAGAAAGGGAAGACCAAACTCAACGAGGATATTTATGATGAATTGGTGGAGGCAATTGTTGTAAAGGATGCAAGTCCTAAACAACCCGTGTCCGAGGAAGAGACTCAAGAGTTTCCGAAGCTAGTGAAGCAAAGTGAATACAAAGTTATTGAACAATTAGGTCGGACACCCGCAAAGATCTCTATATTATCTTTACTGTTATCCTCTGAAGCTCATCGGAATGCACTGTTGGAGACCTTGAAGCAGGCTTTCGTTTCACAAGACATCACAGTGGATAATTTGAACAACGTTGTGGGGAATATAACGACATCTAGCTCAATCACTTTTACAGAGGAGGAGATACCACTAAAGGGTACAGGACATACCAAAGCTCTCAACATCTCAGTTAAGTGTAAAAACTTCCCAATAGCAAAAGTCCTTGTGGACAATGGATCTTCTTTAAACATAATGCCAAGATCCACGCTAGAGAAGTTACCGGTTGATATGTCCCATATGAGACCTAGTACTGTGATAGTAAGAGCTTTCGATGGAGCTCGCAGTGCTGTTGTTGGGGATATTGAGATCCCGATCCAGATATGTCCTTGCACATTTGACATAACATTTTAGGTTATGAACATCACATCAGCTTATAGTTTCTTGCTGGGGCGACCGTGGATACATTCTGCAGGAGTAGTTCCATCCACTTTACATCAGAAAATTAAGTTTGCGGTTGACCAAAAGTTAGTGATCATATCGGGACAAGAAGACATTCTAGTCTCAAGGCTTGCTTCGATGCCATACGTTGAAGCAGCATAAGAAGCTTTTGAGTCTTCATTCCAATCATTCGAGATTGCAAATGCTACAACTTTACATGAGAAGTTTGGAAGACCTAAGCCACGACTTTTAGAGACCGCCTTTAAAGGAGACAATGAGAGCTTAGACAAACTGCTGAGGATGGCTAAGAATACAAAGAAGTTCGGGTTGGGGTACAAACCAAGTAGAGACGACATCATTAGAGTGCGGAGTCTGGAAAAAGCAAAATGACTCTCAAGATTTGAAAATTAGGAGCGTGATTACCCTAGGAGGACTGTTCCACCTCTCAGCCACTCTTTTAGAAGTGCCGGTATAATCCATCAGGAGTACGATGAGAGCTCTGTAGTGGCAGCAGTGACAGAAGAAAGAGAGCAAGTCGGACCTTTTGTCTACCCGTGCCCAGACGGTTTCGAGCTAAGTAATTGGAGCGTGTTAGAGCTACCGTCTTTTGTAAATAATAATTCAAAGTAATTGTCCATTTTTTTTCCTTCCCCTCATTTTCTTAATTAATTAAATTAATTTTCTATTTCCTGTACATTCCATCCAGACCTATTATTTGTTTATAATTCTTTCATATCAATAAAAGTTTGAGTTCATTCACTTTGTTTCTTTGCTCTACTATTCTCTGGACCAGTTTATTCATTTTTTTCCTTTTCCTTTCTTTTCTCCCTTATTATATCTTAAGCAGTAATACTGAGATTGAATGCGACAATGATTAAAAATACGAGCTTGATACACCTATATACAATATCGAGTCTGATGAGGAAATAGATGACGAGCCCCCTGCTGAGTTATTGAGAATGCTAGAAGAAGAAGAAAAGATGTTGGGGCCCCATGAAGAATTAACTGAGACAATTAACTTGGGATCACAAGCCAAAGACAAAGAGATTAAAATAGGCACTAATATGTCTTCAGAGAATCGTAAAAAGTTGATAAAGTTACTTCATGAGTATGCTGATGTTTTTGCTTGGTCCTATCAAGATATGCCTGGTTTAGATACAGACATCATAGTGCACAAATTGCCGATCAACTTAGAGTTCAAGCCAGTGAGACAGAAGTTACGGAAGA